TGGGTGTCGGTGGGTGAGTGGGTGTGGGTATGGGTGTGGGTGTGGGTATGGGTGGGTAACAGTTAGGTGAGGGTTGGGTGGGTGTCAGTGCCGGTGCCTCCTCCTTGTTCCATCATCCTACACCCATATCCACATCCACATCCAATTCCGTGCTAAAAATTCTGGCTCCCGTCGAAGACAACTCGTTTTGAATGATAAGAAATGATTTTTTTGCGTGATTTACTCTACAATAAGCACGTAGATCAATCATACTGCTCTAAGATTAATAAGCAATGGAAAAAGCATGCTTTTATGAGATTTGAAATTAAAGAAGAAAAATGATTGAGTAGGCACAATAATGTTTGACGTCAATACTGAGCCGCCTATAGAGTGTTTCTGTAGCAACAGTATCGATGAAGAACAATGAATTTGACTATTTTACAATTAGATACTATCAGAGATGCTTTTAAGATACTTATCTTTGTTCTATAAACTCTTTTTTTGCTCAGTTTTCGTTTTATTTATGAACAAAATATTTGTGTAAAACTTCTTTACTAACAATATTTTTAGTTCTATTATGCCTTTTATTGCTTTTTTTCCTTCTTTCATGACTTTTACTTTGACAGACATTAGAAAACAAACTCTTTAAAAATTAATATATTGTGTTCGTGACTGAACTTCAAGGACAAAAAATGAATTGGATGGTGTCATAATAATTCTTGATGTTAGAACTCGATTTTATTTATTAGGTTCAATTGCTACTTTACAGTGAATCGTATTATTTTTTTAAACGACCTAGGATGAGACGAATTTCATTTTGAGTGTATAGATATTATTTTAGACTCACTCACATCCTTGCCGTCAAATACAAGTGTTTTTTGCTGATAGCTTTTAGTATCGGATGATATTTTTTGAAGTTTAAGTCATTTTTTATTTAAGCTTGAGTTTATTGGAATGACCATATGATTTAAAACGTTCAAAAGAAAAGACTTTTTAGAAGACTGCGCAAAGAGAGCACGAGAAGTGGCGGCGTTATATTAAATTCTACCTATGTATGTATATATGTTATTCTGAGGAATATCTATAAATATATAGTGCACGCATTTGAATATTATTACACTTAATAGATCGCTTGTAAACTGGAGTGATAGACATATCAGAGGAGAGAAGAAAAAGGAAAGAGCGATAAAGAAAAGGAGAGAATTCTCTTTCCCCCTCCTTCTCTCTTTCGTTGAGGAGAAAGACAGAGAAGTAAAGAAGGAGAGAGAGAACACTAAAGAAAGGAAGGAGTAGGAGTAGAAGTAAAGAAGAAGACGAGAGAAAATAAAAGGAAAGAGAGAAAGGTAAGTTTAAATCATTGTTATTTGAATAATTATGCGTTAATGTTAACATCGAATGTTGCTGATATGTCTTAGAATAATGATTTCTCTTCTAGAATAAGATATTTCAATTACAAGTGCATTCATCAAACAAAAGATCTGCGTACTAACCTCAATCACTTTGTGAATGATGCATTTCAATGTTTTATTTCATTGGCTATACCAGCGACTATGCAGCTACAATCTTTTTATGTTAGAAGAAAACGAATATGATGATAATGATGATGAGCCAGAAGATCCATCAATAATACTTAAACAACAAAAGCAAACAACATGGCTATATAGTATTTTACTTATAGGCAAGTAAAACATATTGTTCATTTTTAAACGTGAATTTATTGACAAAAAGTAGCGATTAAACAGATATGAAGATTAGTTCTATTAAATATTTCTTCTTTCATAGAGTGATCGGCGACATGAGAGAACTGAAGAGCTAGTCCATGTGTATATATGTGCGATTTTATTTGAGTAAAAGTACTAAAGGTCTGTTCGACACATAGAGATCGGTATAGTTATTCCACATCATTCGGAAACTGAAAGTAAAATGATGAAAATACTTATTGAGAGAATAAGAGAGAAATGATGAAAATAATATCCATCTATACTCTTTTATTGTTTCATAAGTCTGAATGAGTCTTGATTGTCATATGTTTAAAGGTAAATGTGAATGTGAGTGAGAGATTGATATATTACTCATATCTACATCCTCAAGTTACACTTAATATTATACAATCAATTAAATGTATACGAAAAAAAAGATTATTTTTAAAAGAATTCCAAATGAGATTTTCTAAGTTGTAATCCAAAGAGAAGCGACTAGAGATATACCGAGCCCGAGAGGCTCGACCAGGGCTCGGATTTGAGGATGGGTGTGAATGAGAATAAGAGTATGAGTGTGTTAAGTGCGGGTACTATCCTTTTCACTCTCACCCACACCCACTCCCACACCCACACCCACACCCATTCTGACACCCGAGCGTTGACCAATCCTAGGTCTGATCAAGCCTGACCCCGAGCCTGGCCGACCTCGAGCCAAACAGAGACCGACCCTAACCGACCCCGAGCCCTGACTGAGCCAAGCCTAACCGATCCTGATCCCTGACCGGGCCGAGCCCTAGAGGTTCGGGTTTGGTACATCCCTAGAAACGACTTAATTGATTTCAAGAATTTGAAATATTCTTTGTATCATTTTAGTGTCCCTCTATGTTCTTTTTTATGTTGGTTTGAGGAATCCACAACCTCGAATGATAACTATTTCGCCTATTACTCTTAATATCTTCAATGAACTTTATCTGGAATATAATGAAACTCTTTCATGCCCATGTTCAACAACTATGGTGCCCTATAAAAATTTCGTTTCTCAAAGATTTACATTTCATCCTGTTTGTTCGAGTATTTTCGTTAGCCAACAATGGATTGAAGCACTGTACCTATCAAATGCAACTAAATATGCTTCATTTGATTTTCGAACAACGGCTAGTTCTCAAGTAAGACAATATTTTTTTAAGAAACCTTGTTCTTTGCTTAAACTAAGCTTGGCTTGAGTGTATAAATTAACAAATTCACAAAACAGAAATGTATTCTGTATGGTATGCGCTAAGGTATGTATACAAAATTGAGCATAACAATGTGTTGATTATAATATCCACATTGATGTTGAATTTCATAGATATTACAGTATATTCATTCTGATGAAACATGTCATTAAATCAAAATGATTATCGCTTTCATTCAACTAAATATACTCAAAAATGTTGAAAAGCTAATGAAGCTGAAAGTTACAACTTCCCTAGTTTTAACTTCCCATAGTGCAAAAGATAGAATAAAATAGAAAGTTTGAAAGAAAATCATATGAACTGTGGTTTTTTTCTTAAACTGTTCAAATATGCTAAGTTCAAATAATCTTTTGTAAAGCCCATATATATGTTTTGAACATAAAATTCTGAATAAAAGTTGAATCTTGAGGATTTTAGACCTCTCACGTCTCACTGATCTCATATCTAATAGAAACCTAGTAGTCATAATCTAGCATCAATACGTAAATTCTTGCGAGTACCAGAGGAGAAGAACAATAGTCGTAAAAATATGGCTGTCCTTGGTGATCAAAGAAGAGAAAACAACTTTTTAAGTGTAAGATTGCCTGGCAACAAAGTAGAAAAGAAATCGTTAATGAGTAGATTGCCATGAATATCGTAGTCAAAATTACGTTCTAATATTGGCTTAGGCTAAATCTTCAAATCTGCTTTTGACAATCGAGCGAGATGTTTTCGAGGTGAATAATTACATTCTCGCAAAAAACTCGATGATAGAAGGGGAAGAGAAACAGGAACTAAATTCAAAAATCCATAAATATGATTTGTTTAAGATATACTTTATGTATGTCAAATATTTGAGTTTTTACATTTTCTATCTTGAACGGATAACGTTGAAAAGCTTTTCGAAACGATTATCTTCGTTGAAAAAGTCTTGATTGTTTCTCATCACTGTTAATTTTGTTGAAATATCAATTTAGCTCATAAGACTCCAAAAATTCGTCAAGGTATGAAGCGATTAAGGCGACATAAAAATGAACAAATTTTTATTATTTTATGAAAATAATATACTTTCTATTTTATTTAGAATAATGGTTATTATGACTTTGTTCTTTTCTATTTAGTTCAAACTTCTTTCTAGTCTCTGTTTGCTCTCTCAAATGACAGTTTTACAAAATCAAAATGAACTGAAAAACAATGAGTTTATTACTATTTCTCTTTTGCCTGAAGTACAAGTTGAATCAATAGTGAATGCTACTGTTCAATTCTTTCAAAACTCTTCAATTAATCAAATTGTTGCACTCTTAAACTATCTCAGAGCAACCAATCAGGGAAACACTTTAATATCAAGTCTTAATACAAATGTAATGGTTATGGTTACTGGTTATCAATTCAAGATTTCTATAATGAGAATCCAAATGGTATATTGTCAACGTGATAGTAATGACATTGGAAATATAAAAAGAGAAGTGTGCGGTATTGAAAATCCAACTGTTCAAGGTGGATTCTATCGAGCGTCAGAATATGGCATTCCTGAGTCAGATACAACCTGCCAGCCAGGTATACCAGCTATGACTGCTGTTAAAGGATTTTTTGCTGGATGTACACCTTTCGAAGGTATTTTACAAAACACACTCGATTGTTTCTATGATATTAAATGCATTGAGTTACTGATCAGTCGTATTCCATCTCTGAATGAAGTGTGTATAGTATAATTCAATGATTTTGTAATATATTTCTTTTGTCTAGATGAACGTCAACTGGAGTACATCTGTTCTTATATCAAAACAGCAACAGGTTTCTGTACATGATCATTTGATTAATCTTTTCATTGAAGAACAGTCAACACATATGGATTATTCAAACTATTTCAGCAGTTGTTCTCCCTCATTCTGTACATATATAACGATAAGTCAAAACAACGTGTACTATACGATCACTCTTTTTATCAGTCTCTATGGTGGTCTGATCATCATACTTCGTCTGATTACACCATTTCTGATTAAAATTTCTTGGAAACTGAAACAACATCGAGGAACTACAGGTATTGATTCCGTTATATTATAAGTGTAACAAGAAAATTTTATCCTACATAATTTTTAGTACGACAAAATACAAACGTACGCAAATTTGTTCAGTTAATTAAACGACTAAACATGTTTAAGAAAGTTGAAGAACGAACAGAAAATAATATCAAACAACAGAAGATTTTTACACGTGTCTATGTAATCTTATTACTCGGTATGATTACTTTTATTTCATATATCTCAAATGTTGTTAATAGCAAAAAAAAGTAACTGCAAGCTAGAAATGATGATTTATTTATATATTATTTATAAAGTATAATTGCTCGTAAACGAAGATATAAGTGAGAGTGTGACTGTTGATTCACGAGCATACATCAAATCCAGTTCGGAAGAGTGTAGATACTACATAACATAATTGAATTCTTCCAAGCTGATATCCATACACATCCTCAAAATATTAATATATTTATTTATCTCTCTTTATTATTAGGTGCATTTTTTACTTTTCTTCTTATTACTTGGTTAAGTACTAAATTAGATACAGTAAAAGTATGGAATCCATCGCTTTTCGACTACAACAATTTGGAAAGATTAAATTCGAATAAACCGATATGTCCCTGCTCTACAACTAGAATGCCTTATCATACATTTATCTCATTATCTCCAACTTTACATCAAGTGTGTTCCAGTGATTTTGTTTCAGATCGTTGGGTTTCTGTATTAAAAAATAGCGCATCTTCTACTGTTCTTTTAAATTCCAATTTTGTAAGTAAAAATCTCTGAAGAAAGATTTCATATAAAGATGTGAACAGATCTTGAAATTTATGTATTAAGAGTTGTTATTAGATTTCAACTGAAATATGTATGATCAGAATCAATTAGTGAAGTCTATTCAATGATAACTGTGAATTTGTTAAGTTGTTACTAGAAATTGGCATCATCGATAAACATTCTTAAAAAGAAGATTATGTTTTTTTTAATAGTTCTATGTTGTTGGGTTTAAAAAGATATCCATTTATTTTCTATATCATTCCAAGTATTCAGCACAATAAAAACTAAAAAACATGTATTTGAGGTGATTTTTAGCAAACTAGTTAGGATGGTAGATGATTCATCTAATTATGGATTAAAGACGTCTTACTTGCTTGTTCTTCTTGTTTTATATTGATTGAGTAGTTAGATCATGATATCATATCAGAAACTTGTCATGATAGACAAAGTAAATAGATCAATTCATAAGAGATGCTAACGACTTCAAAACACCATAATTTCAATTTTTGAGTACGGACCAAATACGATCTAGCCCAATAGTACTAGGACTAATACCACTGTGTATGTCTGTATCAAAGAACTACTTATAGATCGAGGAACACGATAACTAAAGAATTGTGTGTCTACATTTTCAAATTCTGCTCACTTTTCTGTATCTTGAATCCTAGCCGAAATATATAATTATGAAATTTTCCATTAGACTACAGATTGGCATTATCAAGCTAGTTCACAATTTCAATTGTTGTCGAATCTTTGCCAATTGGCTAATAAAACAATCGACGATGCCATTCGTCGTTTTAAGTATCAATCCTTTGTGGCGCCGAATTTATTCAGTGAAGATAGCTTCAATGCATATTTCAATCGAACATTTACTCAACTATTCCAGTCGACAACCAGCTATTTTAGTGTTCTTGTAGAAACAGAGCGTCTCCTTCTTCAAGTCGATCAACTTTCTGCCGTACCTGTTAAAGATGTACGAGTTATGGTAAATTCGAATCTACGTGTAAATGTAACACTAAACGTAACTACCAATAAGTATTCATCGCATGTAAGTCTTTCTTGAAAACATCAGAGTATTTCCTATTCTCAGTATTAGTGATATTATACGAATATTTTCGAATTTATTGATAACAGTTCGTTCATAGTCAGGAGAAGCTTGCCAGAGGAGAGAAGAAGCATATTTTCTATTTTCGATAAACTTTAATACATAGCTTTTTTCGATTTTTGAAAGCAGTTGTCCTCTACTATCTCTTATTTTAAGAGACAACATATCTGTAAATTCCTACATCTTTGAAAATAATATTCCTTATGCTTTCTTGAATTATGAAGAAAACAAGGGATTACTCTAAATAAAATGCGTCTATTATGGAAAAGAATGAGTCGATATAAGACCTTGAAGGTGTG